CTGGCCTTTTAGTTTCTTTTTCCTTGGCGTAGAACACGAAGAACTGCTTCTCGTTTCTCTTACTGTAGAATGGGGCTGAACAGAAATGTTCTCCTCATCTCGTTTTTGAGAAAGAACGAGTTCAACTTTGTGGCTTTTTACACAACCTTCATCCACTCGAGTAACTTTTTTTGGCTCAGTATTAATATCAGAGCCCTCAGCATCTGCTTTTCTTTTTGAAGGACCAGGAGTTGCATCATGCAGCTGAAATATAACACAAAATGTTTATTTATTTTTTACTTCATACAGGTAAGCTCTTGGCCTCAGACATGCCTGACCTGCCGTGCCGCGTCAGCAATGACAAGGCCTAAGATGGAGCGAGCTTACCTGGAGATTGCCCTATGTCACTGGAACTTCCACACACTGACGAAACACAGCTAGCTGTTATGGCACCAGACTCTGGTGGAAGGGTAGTCACGACCCAATTTAAAAAAAATTGACCTTCCCATACAATATTACCAAATGGGAAAGTCAGTATTTTTAATTTTTGACAGTAAGCTTCTTTGGGAATGTTGTTCAGTTTCATGGTCTGAGTCTTGGTTTTAATTTATTACTCGTGGTACAAGACCCACCCTGTATACCACTATTGCTTCGTACGTGTTAGATTTGGATATAACTCGAAATCATACTAAATTCAGCTTGACAATTTTTTTTCCTGAAACTTTAATGAAACAAAGCTTGAATTTTAATTCTAGCAAAGTTCTATAAAACACTAAAAAATATTAATGGGGTCTCCATACAAACAACGTGTTTTTTGCTCAATATTAATAACGGTAACATGTATAATATTTACTTGTATTCAAAATAAATCCTACTAATATTATAAATGCGAAAGTTTGTGTGTCTGTTTGTTTGTTTGTTTGTTACCGCATAACAATCCAAATACTTAACCAATCGGGCTGAAATTTTGCACACATATAGCTTATAATCAGGAGCAGGACATAGGCTACTTTTTATCCCACGGGATCTCATATTTCCAACGGGAACCTAGAAAACCCTATATTTCTTAACACGGACGATATTTGTAAAACAAGTAGAGGTATTTTATGAAAATGAAACAGGAACGGCTTCCAAGAATCCCACGGGAGCTTTTTTTATTCACGGGAACCCAAAATTACTTACTACGCGGGCGGAGCCGCGGGGCATTCGCTAGTAATTAAATAACAATAAAGTAAATATTAAAGGGGCTCCCATACAATAAACGTAATTTTTAAGCAATTTTCTATTATAGATGATGGTACGGTACCTTTCGTGCGTGAGTCCGACTCGCACTTTGCCGGTTTTTTTCTTACTGGTATAGTTGTCGTTGGCTTAATATTATATTGAAACATACAATTATCGGATAAATAAAAAATAATGATCACTTACTTGCTCAAAGAACCTAACTATCTTGATAGTTGGTACTGATGAAGGTTTTGTATATCTATATCCTTTTTTCGATATTAAGAAGTCGTCTTCTAAAAAATGTTCAGAGCATATAGTACTTGATTTTTTTGGTATCCAATTAGCTCTGCCCGTTGCATCTGTCCATTTTTCTTTGATACTAGCATCTTTAGGAAACCTAAAAAGTGCAGTTTATAATTTAGCAGGAAATAATTTAATATTGTATGTAAATATGGGTAAATCGCCTTGATAAACTTGCTCCTTGTGATCAACAAAAACACTTTTTATCATTAGTTTGCATTTAAAAAATAATCTAAAATATCGATAAAATTAGTATCGACCTAATTATGTACGTCCCTAATTGAGTAGCATGGAAGTTACTAGAACAATTTAGTTACACTATCAAATTCAAAATGCACTTTATTGCAATGTGTTAAGGTTTATTTTTGGCGTTTATTTTTATAAAATTATTAGTAAAATGAAATTATGATAGTTTTTATCTAAAAATTAATAAAATCGAACTTACCGATGATAGGAAATTCCTCCATTATGAAGATTGTTTCTTGTACTATTATTTTTGCATTCCAAAACAGAACAAAACGGCATAATTATGTAAAAACAAAAGTAAAAAGAAAAGATTGACAAGACTACCGTTTCGCTGCGATGAAACACCACGACTGAGATCAGTTAAGCCTTACAAAGCTTATTTGTGGCACGCGCTCCACGCCTACTTTGCACTTCCACTTGTTTTTTGTGTTCCGTGTGTACCACTAAATTCATTATTTTTCGAATTCTTGCCCGCTTTAGGTCATTTGTTAAATGACATTTCTGACCGACTGAAAAGGGAATTTTTGACTATTCCTTAGATGTGTGATGTTTCCCGTTATAAAATACAGTTTATTTGGACTTCATTTCATTATTCACAAGCGACTTAAATTTAGGCTCTCGCTGCTGGTACATCGCTACATATACACATAGCTGTATTTCTAAAATTACACCAGCAAACGTTCAGAAAACGCTAGTGTAACAGCAGCCTAAGTGTTAATAGTTCAACCAAAACTATATATGACAAAAAAGGACAATAGAATCTTGAGAATTGAACGATAACTAAGTATTAATTTTCAAAACTGTACAAGTTAAAATCAATTCCCTTAAAGTCATAAACAGGTACTTTACTACTTCAGTAATATATGTTATACTAATTTTATAATCGTAAGACTTACAAACCGACCAATTTTTTTTTATATCAATAATTTAATCTAAGTATGTTCATAAATACATTTCATTATACAAGCAACAGCACACCAATTTAAAGGTCTTTACACTAAAGTTATTTTGGAGATAGCATATCATTTGGAAATCATCACAGATCATCCAATTGTGTTGTGTTTTTAAACCAGTCTCGATTGAAGTATATAAAGTGATATCCAAATATCAACCTTACTCAATTCCCGATAGATTTAAAAATAGTATGCACGAATATATCATGTAACATACCAATTTAATCTCTATCATTTACAAGAGAAGGTTTTCATTGTAATATTATTAAACATATGCATGAAATGACTTAGTAATCTGAATAATATGTTTTTAATATAATACAATAAGTAGGTAATATTTTAGAAAAAAAAACAGAATTATGTTAGTGTAAAAAAAAATTGAAAGAAAAACGCATATCTCATTTCTTTGACCATAATTCATTGGAGATGCAATAATAATTGTCATTAGTGTTGGGCCAAGTATTTATCGATATTTTTAATCGATACTTAGCATTCTTATCAACTCTCAAAACTACATACTCTTTATTTATTAAAATTTTGACAAATCATTCAATCAAGCCGTCGACTTTTAGTAGATTATACGGGAACAAGAAAGGGCATTTTTTTCGCATTTCGCCCACGTGTCTCATATATATAAAAATTGGACATGCACAAGTAATTTAATGCAAATATAGAACTTAAGTATAACGCGGCTAAATACTTTTACATAGTATTATGTATTTGTTCAATTCACATAAATAGAGATTCATTAGTTTTTAAGGTACAATCGCATCCAAATATTACTTAATAAATGTATCAAGCTACACTTTCTGGTTAGCCCACATCAGATTTAATTAAAACTGTCAATTTCATTCAATCTTTTTGAACCTTAATACAATGACAGTTAAGTTCAAAATTGACAATTATTTTTTGGTTTGACTGTACAAATAATTCAATACGTGAATTAAGTTTCTTTCATTACATTTAAATTAACAGTTTTATAGATTAAATTAACGATTTGGATATAATCAGAAAGACAATGTGTCCTAACTTACTATATTAAGGATTGGTAGGTGGTAGGACGTTTGGTAGGTGATAGGAAAACGACTACAGACAAAGTTTTTGACCACCCATCTTAAAGCAGGTTTCAGGAAATGTTCTTTAATTTCCGTAATTGCGCGATCTACCTCATCGGATTATAGTTGCGTAAAAAAAATAGTCAGAATTATAACAAACATTCCTAGTAGTATAAATGTAAAGTCTTTGCAATGTAATAATTAAAATTATAAAACGATACCCCACCCACAATTTTGTGTGCATGGATTTATGATTTTTAGACTCTAGGGAACCATAGAGAATGTACTTTATAGCACATTCATCCAGTAGTTCAGTGCTTATCAGCACTTGTAATAACAAACAAGATAAAATAGTTGTTTTATAAAAAAAAATCATAAACTGTCACCACTTAATGATTAAATATCTAATTAACTTCCGCTCACTTTACCTCCATTAAGTGATATCCATAAACAAAAATATTAATATCATCAGTGTAATAAAAAAAGACAAATCACAACAAATATAACAACCACTACATTTCATAAATTGGACGTAGTTTTTGACTTGAAAAAAACGTTTCGAAAAGAAAAAAAAATATAAACAGCATAAACTATTTCGTTCACCAAGTTGTATTGTAATATTTTAACTTTATCATATTTATCTTGGTAAATGCAATCGTTTGTCGTGTAAATAGTACTTATTATTGAACTGTAGTAGTTGACTGAAATTCTCCGATATAGATCTACTTAGGATTGAAGAATGTAGTCATGCAAGATGAACCTAACCTAAATTTGGATAATTTCTTGGAATACCTATAATTTTACTTCCTACCCCGTAAGGGATACGGCGTGAAGATATAGGTTGATCGATCTATAATATTAATATAAAATATCCTTTTTTATTAAGTTTCAGTTTTAAAACAGTCACTATTAAATCGATTATAAATAATTTATTTTTGTTGGCGAGTCACTGCATAACAACATCTTCTCTTCAATTTCTCTTCTTCATAGTTTTGATATTATAAAGCTCATTTCATTAATATATTTGATTGTGATGAATTAAAACGACTCCAGTCCAACTACCAATAAAAAAGAGGAAGACCATAGACATCGCATACTAGGTCTACCAACAAAAAATCCCATATAATTTCCAATTCCGAATCAAATCCCGCCGTGTGAAACCATAGATTATTGAATCTCCGTGCTCCAAACGGACGGAATTCTATACTACGTTTGTCTACGGCTGGCAACACCAACCGAACATTCATAAGTGATTGTTCTCGGCAGTGGGAGGGGCTTCGTCTACATCAAGAAGTTGTTTTATACGTTCCACACACAGTTTTGAACCTTCGTTCGCTTCTTTCGCCATCTGAAACAATAGTAAAATTAGGAATATTCTAAAGTAGTATTTCCTAACCATGGGTCTCGACCCATTTTCATTAATCCATATTAAATGGGCCCTAATTGGCGATCAGTTAGTGTATAGCTCACGTTTTTTGTAACAATTATAACAAATAAGACCACATTAATTAGTTCCATATCCCGCCACTAGAGATTTTGACAGCAGTAAGTCTATACTTCTTTTTCTATAACATGGGTCCTTGTTCTAGTGAGCGCATTTCCTTAAATATATAGACAATTAAATACAAAATTCGATGCGTAGTATAAAACAAAATAACTTTCCATCTGTCTGTCTTTATGTATGCTTAAATTTCGATGGCAGAGTTTTTTTATAGATAAGGTTATTCAAAATACAAGCTAACTATATTAAAAATTAATATGAAGTGAATCAAAAAGATGACATTTTATTTTTATTCTAATAAAAATAATGTAAACCCATTATACAAAAATAATATCATACGTTTTGTACCTTATTAATAACGCAATAAGCCTTAGAATACATTACCAATGAAAAGTTGAGGAACCCATGCGGTAACCCTTCTAGTACATCGATGCCGACAACGTTGCCGAGCTTCTTTAGTTTCTTGGCGAACATGACGCAGTCGTCGAGACAAGGATCCAGATGTACAGTCTAAAATAGGGATACGCATATTTTTTATAATGCAAATATGGATGATGACATTTCTATATACAGAAAAAAATAAATAAATGCAATTATAGGCGAGTTTCAAGGGGTCGCCAACTCTGAAGTCCCGGTTTCGATTCCCAGACGGGTCAATGTAGAAAATGCACATTTTTCTATTGTCTCGAGTCTGGGTGTTGTGGTAGCTTTAGCTACTCATCTTGGAATCTGAGCAATGTATGTGATATTGTTTAATATTTATCTATTTTTGTATATTTCATATTACATCAAAACCTATTTTTCTATACACATATTTTTTATACAGTTAAGATGAAATATATTAGTATGAAAATCAATCCAAAAATGTATTTAAAGTCACCTTGCGAGTTTTTTTTCTATCAAGCCAATTATTTTTCTTTCTGTTTTTAGCAAGCAATCGATCGATATTTAATTTAATAAAATTATTTTTATTTGGCAAATATTAGCATAGCCTTAGAATAAAATTTATTTAAAAAGTGGTATATGCTCACCAATATTCTCACTGGAGGGAATCTATTGAGTAATTGCTCGTCAGCCCAATACGGCGACAGGAACGGATCACGAGGCACTGAAAATATGAATTCGTCCGACGGGCTGCGTGCTATTAACGCGTCCAGATTGGAACGTACCGCCATACTGGAAACAAACGATTATCAACATTATGTTATTGCAGTGGAAGGCATAAAAAGCATTGACTGAATTACAACAGTTGGAAATTTACACTAAAATCCAAAACTGTGTGTACACTTTCGCTGAAAACAGATAGTATAGTTAGTAACTAATATTATTTAGTTTAATAATTGCCTTACGACAGGATTATGCTTTGATTTATCTAAGGCTTATGGGCTTTCGATTTTGTTTCCCATAAGTTATTGTTAAAAAATAGACTCGATTGGTATATCTATGGATTGAGTCATACCTGACAAACAGGAAGCAGCCCGTCACTATTGATAATATAGTAAATAGTGAAATGGTTTCATATTTATCAAATTATCGAGAAACTAAAAAAAGGCTTTCCCCAAAGAAGTATTTTGGGTCCTATTTTATTTTTGCTATATATCAATGACTTCATTAACGTGACAAATCATAAGAGAATTTTGTATGCTGATGACATTTTAATAATAGTGACCTTAAATAAAGTAAATAATAATTCAATATTAAATCATGAATTTGATATAAATAATACAGTCGACAAGGTAATAGAATGGCTAGAAAATAACAATTTGACAATAAATAAAAAAAAAAAACAGTTTTTGTTCAATTCAATCAATCGAAACATACTTATTATAATTTAAACTAAATATTAATAAAGCAAGTACCACATACACAATTCTTAGGTATTACTATAGATAACCATTTGAATTGGAAACAACATGTTGACAACACATGTAACATGATAAACAAATTTGCTTATGCATCAGGTCAAGTAACAAATAAAAAAACAGCTGTTATATATTATAGGGCTTCCGTGGAATTGATATTACGTTATGGTCTTGTAATATGGTGTAACAGCACAGATTATTACAAAACCTCCATAACACAAAAAAAAAATGTATCAGGGCGATCTGTGTCGGAATTCGAGATTCATTTAAACAACTTGGTTTATTACCGCTATCGTCATTATACGAGTATATTATAGAAATGTGTAACTTTGTAAGGAAATACAAACATTTATTAAAATATAGATGTCGTCAGCGTTTAAATTCTCGCTGTATTAGATTCCAATATACTGTTTTGCATCCTATTTGAAAATGGTGAAACATGAGCATATTGTACAACTTAAAAAACTTAAAAATGTTTAAGTCAAATAAACAGTTATTACTATTATTATTAATAAAATAAGTTAAAAATATACAACGATTTTTTATGCGACATTCATAATTTCATAGTACTGACTGTTTAAGGTTAAAATCAGTGATTCCCTAAGTGGTTTAGGTGAACCCCCAGGACTCCACGAGGGATTCAACAGGGATCTACGTTGGCGTGAATTTAGCGTTGGAACTCACCCGCGACGTCAATTTCCATCGTTCGATCTTCACATTTTGGACGAATTTAGGGAATATGGTAAAAATGTAGCAGCAGGGGGTCCACCGAAACCAGTATTTTAAAAAAAATGGTCTACGAGAAAAGATTGTTTGGGAACCCCTGATGTAAATTATCAAACGTACAGCAAGTAAGGTAAAACTAAAACTTTATTAAATTGACTTTAACTTACAATATTTAAATTTAAGTTGAAAATCATTATGTCGTATTTTAATATATATTTATGTTTGTTCCACTTACTCCTCTTGTGTCGGCCTGGCTATATTATTGGATCCCGTGATGTAAGCGAGACGGGATGACATCGCTCCCATTATGCCCGTCGCTGCTTCGCTTATCCTACACCAAAGATAATTATTACAATAAAACAGTGCAATCTCTTAAAACGGATGTAGACAGTAAACGAAAACAAATACATATATTTTTTTCTAGTAGTGTTTAATTACTATTACAGATAATCACACTTTTATGTTTATTATATTTATAAAATTTCTTATGAAAAAAAAAAACAAATATTTTATACACGTTGTCACGTGACCGAAAACAGCGCGCTCCTCATATCAGAACTTAGAGAATTAAATCTTATGCATACATCGACCGGTATTTGTTTTAGAAGGGGCGAGACGTCATAACGACGCCATGATAGAAAATGGCGTTTTGGCGGGAAATTTTGAAAATTAAATTTTTAGATTTTAACGTATCATATTAGATAAATATTTCAAAGTCTTCAACACTTCTATTAGGAAATAAAAAAATGTTAAATAAATGTTATGTATATCTGTACTAATATTATAAAGAGGAAAAATTTAATTGTTTATTTGTATCGAATAGACTCCGAAACTACATGAGCGATTTTTTAAAACTCTTTCACCTGCCGTTTGATTCTGTAAAAATCCAAAATCACTCGAACTCACTACAAAAAGCGGTATCCACTCAACTTTGAATTGGTTTGTGGCATAAATGAAGTGAGTTTCGAAATGACATAGGAATAGAATATCTGAGACACGTATATTCAATCAATTTAGATTTATATTTTTATAAAAAAAAATGGAATCGATAGAATTTATACTCCATTTGAGGATTCGGACAAATGAGTGAATTCGCAACCGAATCTCGATTTTTACAGAATCGTAGGGCTGTAGTAGAATGTGTTAAGTGGTAAGTACTTAATAATGCAATAATTCATTTACGAAGTCCAATATGATTCCACATAGCACAAAAAGTTATGCACGGTAACAATTTCACACTGTAGCTAGGCAATTTATACAGCTTTAATTACGCAGCACAATTAGTTTTATAAAAGCAGTTATTCTCTGGAAAATTGCATTAACAAGCAAGCGGATTTTTGCGTCGAGTGAGGTAGTGACAACTGCTATGCTACAGTAGCAGTTAACTTAGTTTACTATATAATCTCCTATTAATTAAATTAAAACTTTAATTGTTGTCTTACACAGATATCACCATATAATATCATCTTAAAGCTGAATAATAGGTAAAATTTAGTGATATAAGGGACAATCAATATCTTTAATTAAGTTATTATAGAATTATCAATTATTATTATTTTGTACAATAGTCAGTTGTTAGGTTCTTTTTCGAACATTAAAAATAAAAAAATATTGTGACAGGCAACTGGATGTTGGTATTAATTTTGATATATATTTATGGTGATAGTAGTAGTGTCATGAGCCGATGCGTGCATGCGCGAGACCTATGTTGAGCATCTACATTATACCGGGTTAACATAGGCTATAATATACGTGTGCGAAGTCGCGGGAAAACAGCTAGTGTGTTTATAGAAAGTTCTAGTCTTTTGTGCGCGCGGTGCTATGGTTGCGTGCAACTTATAATCATGGTGGTGTATATAAGGTCTTGTCTTGCAGATACTTACCGGGTGTGTACTTTAATATATATATATAATGGGTGGGTAGTCAGGAGGGGCTATTACGAAGCCCAAATAGATCGTCCATATCGGAGGACTATCTTTAAAATTACACTGCAGGTGTGGTATATCAACGCGGATTTGTTCCATTTTATCACTTTTCATACGAAAATATAACGAGATGAGCGTGATGTCGTCGGATGTCTTTACTCCTCGGCGATCGGAACCAGAATGTGTGCCAAAATGGCGGCAAATTGGTTTTGTTAACGAAGTCAGTGCACCATTCAATTAAAATTAAAAGTATAGATGATCACGCTCTCTCTACAATTGAATTATTATGTAATCGAGTAACTAGCAATAAAAATAAAAGTAACTAAATCAAACGAACAGTTGATATATACAAGATAACACCTGGTTCTGTTAAATACTTACCGTGTTTTAATCCTCTTCTTGTCTTTGGCATCGAAATCTTCCACTAGCGGTGGTTCACCGACGAGAGTACTTGAATTTTCCGACAATGGCTCTCTATAATGTGGTAGTTACACAAAGCTTATTTTCTGTACTCGATTTTAAACCTTGATTTGTGGATAGTTACGTATAAAATCACGTGACTAAAACTTTAACATTTGTATTTGACGTATCCTGATATGCTGGTGTGTGTCATGTTTTATTATTACTATTATGAAGGTCTGATTATGGTAATGTACTGTAGGCACACACACACACAAAAATAAACACACACACACACACACACACATACACAGACTAGTTAATAGCAACAAAATATTATAAGCAACGAAGTTATTTTGGTCCTGTAGGTCACGTGATAGGTTACAAATTTAAAACGATCTCAAAGCATAGCAATCATCTTAAATTTTGTGGTTAATATTTTTAACAGATAACAAAAAAAACATGGTAGGATAAACAGAGTTATTTTTTAACCGACTTAATCTGGAATAAACGCGTCTTTGTCTAGTAAGAACAAGCTTTAACTGTTATACAATTTTGTGTATTCGTTAATTCTAGATTTTACAAAGGCATTTAGTGAAAACTGGGAAAAATGCGTTCTATCTAAAAACTAACACACTGGTTTCAAGGTGTCGCCATCTCCGAGGTCCCGGGTTCGATTCCCAGTTGTCTTTTCTATATTGTCTCGGGTCTGGGTGTTGTGATACCTTCGATGTCTAAGATACTAATATTTAATATTATTATTTATCATAAACACGTGCACGTACCTGTGTTGTGAACGTGTACGTCGCCCCTCTGATTCCGTATCGCTGTCCAGAACGTACCGCTCCAGAAACTCTGATACATACTTCTCACACTTCTCCGCCGGCGGAGTAACGCCTGTTGGCAAATTTATTATATATTAATATATTCAGATGAAAACATTATGTCAAATGTATTTTTTGATTTTGACATTAGCTACGAAAATACTTTATTTTACTTGCAACTGTTATAAATTAAAAATAAAAATAAGCACACTAAAACATAAATAAATAAATTCTTAGTACTAATAAATTCTAATACGAGGGTCAAACTGAAAGTTCTTAGAACTGGCCACTTATAAACAATATAATAAAAAAATAATTCTAAAATTTGAAAATATAACTCTTTGCCAATATTACTGAGTATATATTTCATTCATTTGTCATTTGTTTTACGATTTGGCGGCAAATTGAAAATTGTCTGTGTCACGTCATCATGAATTTAACACGAGAAAATTTTCGTGCAATGATTTTTTATGACTTTCGATGTCATTTAAGTCAACAAGAAAGTTATGATAGACTACGATTGGCCTTTCACGATGAAGCCCCATCTCGTGCGACTGTTTACAACTGGTTTAATGAGTTTAAACGTGGTCGCACTAATCTCACTGATGATTTACGTGAGGGACGGCCTTCTACGGCGACGACTGAAGATAACATCTGTGTTGTGCGGCGTATGATAGAGACTGACAAAAGAGTGACCTATCAACAGATTCGGACAAGCTTAGGCATCGGTATGAGTCAAGTGCACAAAATCCTCCACGAACATTTAGCGGTCAGGAAGCTTTGCGCCCGGTGGATACCTCATAATTTGACTGAGGCTCAAAAACTCCATCGTGTGGATTGGTGTCGTAAAATGATTGAAAGATTTAACGGAGGTGACTCAAATGCTGTGTTCGACATACTAACAGGTGACGAAAGCTGGATTTACTGTTATGATCCTAAAACCAAAAGACAATCTGCTCAGTGGGTGTTTCCTTTCGAGGAGTTGCCAACTAAAGTGAAGAGAGATCGAAGTGCGGGAAAAAAAATGGTGGCCTCGTTCTTTGGAAGGATAGGTCATTTTGCAACAATTGTGTTAGAGGATCAAAAAACAGTTTCTGCAGAATGGTACACTACCAATTGTTTGCCACTTGTCTTGGAAAAAGTTCGAGAGAAACGACCTCGCAGTAGGATCCTCCTTCATCACGACAACGCCTCGTCGCACACCGCCAAGCGAACGATCGACTATTTGGCGACATCAAACGTTGAATTACTGGGTCACCCGCCGTATAGCCCAGACCTCGCGCCTTGTGATTTTTATTTATTTCCAAAAATTAAAGAAAAACTTAAAGGAAAGCGGTTTATGAATGCTGAAGAAGCGGTGGCTGCGTATCGCGATGCCATTGAAGAGACCCCTAAGGACGAGTGGGCAAAGTGCTTTTCCCAGTGGTTCCATCGCATGCAGCGGTGTATTGACGTGAATGGATAATATTTTGAAAAGATATAATAAAACTAATAACTGGCTAATGTAATCAGTTTTTGATTTTCTAAGAACTTTCAGTTTGACCCTCGTACTTAGATAATCAAAATTTTTCTAACAGTAATTGACTTGAAAAGCTTGTAGCGCATTAAAAAATGTGTATTTCTTCGGCTCCAATTTAATTAGCGCACAAATGAAAGCTTGTTTTTTTACTTTTTACTTCTTAATTTCAATATGTTGTTGTTCTCAAATCTAACGAGCTTAAATTTATCACTAAGTTCCTATGACCACCTTCCGACTTCATCATCATATCAGCTTACTGACACCATAATATTGCATTGCCATCTGACTTACATGTCTATGCAAAATTTCAAATCTATCGGACTTTGCGAAGGTTCAAATTCGAGTTCCAAGATTTACGCAATAACATACTAACAAGTTAAATAAAAGCTTGTAAAAAAAAAAAGAAAATATTGACTCGGTATGCAGCCAAATTCCATTTGTAAATAATTCATCGAGTTATCCTAACTCATAAGGTTGCAATGAGGAAGTATATCTTTCTCCATGACAACCCTTTCGGTTTTCTTTCATGTATAAAAGTAAATTAGTTTTCAAAACTCAATAAACAACTCATATTCTATTTATACTTTTTCGTATTTTTATTTATATCTAAGTTTCGAACTTTGCAAATTTCAGTTTTTTAATATAATAGTTAAAAGGAACAAAAATGACTATCTTTAATCCATTCGTTTCCTGCAAATATCCATTTTGGTAGAGGTGCCATCTAGTGAGGTGCTTTTTAGTAATTTCTTTTTTTTTTCTTAAAATACTTCCTCATTGACTTGTTGGATAGTGCAATGGCAAGTGGGTTCGATCTTTATTGTGGAAATTGACCTTCTATGGCAATAGCCAGTCATTGGACGGGTGAAAATTTTATAATCTCGAGTTCGATGCGTTGAAAGGCATACCGAGATATGAGTACCAAGTAATTAACACCCAATAAACCGCACTAGGCCCAAATATCCTGATAATAAAAGTAATAATTACCAGTGGCAGTATGTTCGCTCTGTAACGAAGCCGCACTGATTGTAGTATCAGAAGACTGTCTCCTCTCACTACCAGACTTATGCGCTTGAAGCTCAGCTAGATCAGATGGTGATACCTCCTCGAAAGACGACGGTTCTTCGCTGATGCCTTCTATATTACAATATTATTAGTGGTCGATATTGTGACAAGTAGCTTATCCACTACGCTACTTGTAGCTAGCTACTCTAGCAAGTAGCTAGCTACAAGTAGCGTAGTGGATAAGCGCCGTGGCCTGCGATCGTTGTTGTTAAGCGACTTTCGCAAGGGTCGTTCACGGGATGACGGAAGGCACGTTAAGCCGTTGGTCCCGGCTGCATTTGCAGTCGTTAATACTCCAATCCGCATTGGGTCAGCGTGGAGGGTCATGGCCCATCCTCTTTAACCATCCGTAAGGAAGGCCTGAGCCCCTGCAGTGGGGACGTAAAAGGGCCGACGATGATTGTGACAACACACATTTCAATGTATTAAACGTCTTTGTTGCGAATGCAACTAGTAATCATATTTATTGAAATGTGACATAATGGCTCGAAATGTCACGTGACTGATTGTTTTCGCGGGAAAATTTAAATGAATGATTAAACATTTTTTTTAATTATTTCATGACACTTGTTTGGGGAAATGAAAGCCTATTTAAATATCTTTTTGTGGGAATAAGTATACATATTGATAAATTAAAATAGTTTTCCGAATCCCCATTTCTTTGAAATGTGACATCATAATAGGCGATATTTCGTTTAGCACCTTTGAAATTGTATGTCCGTGGCCCTGTATTGCCATTCCGTGTGAATATGTTTTAAGTACATATTACCATTTTTTATATAAATATTAGACAACATCATATACATTGCTCAGATTCCAAGATAAGTAGCTTAATCCCTCCATATTATGGAGTATCTGTGATAGCGAAGGTACATCCCGGGACAATATAGAAAAATTCAGTTTTTACATTGATCCGATTGGAAATCGAACCCGGGACCTCAGAGATGGCGACACTTTGAAACCGGCGTGCAAACCACTCTAAGGTTGTCGTCACTTGGTCGATAAAAAGAATGAGGGAGTATTAAAAAAATAAAAGCATTAAAAAAGCACCTCCACTAGATGACGACTCTAGCAAAATTGATTTATAACGGAAACGAATGGACCAAAGATAGTAATTTCCGTTCCTTTTAACTAACACATTAAAAAACTGAAATTTGCAAAGTTCGGAACAGTACACATAGAATACGAGTTGCTTATTGAGTTTTGAAAACTAATTAACTTTTATACATGAAAGAAAACCGGAACGGTTGTTATAGAGAAATCAAGAAAGTACCGTAGCGACATCTAGTTTGATTATGGGAACTAATGTCTTTTTTAAATACTTCCTCATTACATGAATAGAATACAATATTGAAACATAATAACACATTTACGGATCGGATAGGGCTTTTTCATACTGTGCATTCAAATAGTAATCGTATGTACCTTGAGATGCGCTAACTTTCAAGAAACCATTGCTGTCTAGTGGTGTTGTAACATTAGACACTGCGTTGGCCTGATTTGTTCCTTGTTTTTCGTCTTTTTTACTACCATTGGGACTAGCATACGCTGAAAAATAAACAGTAATAAATAATTAACAAATTACTGTAGAATCATAGTGTTAACACACAGACAGTGTATAATAATGTGTTGCATTAACATTTTAGAATAAAATCAATGAAAGAAGAGAAGAAATCTATACATTTTTGTTTCTAAATAAGTGAAAATGGCAATTATCATTGTAGTTTTACAATAAATGTAATATGCGACACACTCAATGCCGCAGTGGCAAGTTCTGTTATACTTTAGCAAGGGCTGGTTAAAACGGATGATCATAACCTTTATCGTCTTGATTTCTGCCGTGCTTTGGATATCACGTTAACGGTTATGGCCCGTTGTTGCAATTTCATTCCATGCATAAGCAAGGTCTACACTAGCAGTCTGTTTATTAGAAGCTGATGATTATGATTCACTAGCAGTGCAAGCAGAGTAGAGTTTATGAAATCATGGCACTATACCTTTCAAACACCTCATCATGAACCCAAAAGGCAGCAAAGGATCCATCAAGCATAAAAGCCTCGCGGGACTCGGTATGAAACTGACGAGCAATGGTGCGTACGCCATAAATAATCCCTCCGGTTTGCGTAGTCCCGCCATTAATATCTTTAGTGTACAGCCCGCGATGAGATTGGCGCCCGCCGAATCACCCGCGAACACGATCCGTTTACCTAAAACGAGATATGGGAAAATCTTTTAAGGGGTCTAACAAATTTCGGAATTTGTGATATTACGATAGTCATATATACAGGGTTATAGGTAATCAGACCGGATCCTCTTAAGGGGTCGTAGGGGAGGTCATTTATAATTATTTTCACCCCACATTGTATATCCGAAAGTTATTTTTTCTATTTGCACTTTTGTTTGCGCAAATTTGCAACAACAAAAAACTTTTTTTTTTATTATAACTCTGTAGTTTCTGTTTGGGTTAAGATTATTTGGGTTTTATTATTATTTATCATGAACTGTACTGTCAACCAAATTAGATTCTGACCATAATTTAATTTTTTTTCGACGTTTTTAAAGAAAAAAATAAATAAATACAATTTATCACAAAAATGGCGCACTTTCGGATACGACCCCTTAAAAGGATCCGGTCTAATTACCCATAACCCTGTATGCAGGGTCTAATATTTATAATTGTCAGCATTTACATTTTGCCATTGTACAATGGCAAAATCTAACTGAAGTCTAATATTATTCGATATTTATCACTATTGTGAGGTTGCACTAACAATATTGGACTTTAAGTAAATAGTATTTTGGAAAAATGCAAATCGTTGAAATTGTATTGAGATGTGGTTATGCTGTATGGGAAAGTCAGAAACTATAAGTCGTACGAAAGCATTGTCTTGGGAACCATGTCATCGATTTCAATGACAAGAAAAACTGCATTCATGCATTTAATTACACCTTTTATACCCTTAGGTGTTCCGGTATTTTTCTAATAGTGACCTACGGAGGAGTAGCTCGCATGGCGGTTTCATATCTGAAATCTCAAGTTCTGTTCCAGATCATGTCAAGCGAAAATGAACTATATTGTCTTAGTTCAGCAGCCGCACCACGTAACTGGAGGCCTGATCGATCTGTCAGTCACCAATCAGGATTGGCTTTAGGCTAGATGGACCAATTTTGATTATTCTGCTGCTTTGACATATAAATCAGAGGTATAGAAATGCGGTAGGGTCGCTGGGTATTGTGTTACCATCATTGTTTCATAAGATTCAGATTTCCATAATACTTGTATTATTATACTTAATTTATTTTACTAATCATTTGAACAATGTATGTGATGTTGTCTCAATATGTATTTAACCTGTCATTGGAGTTAGACATTTTTATTACAATGCCTTCGATTTAAATACAGAAAAAATACGTATTACCCATCATCTAAATTTAGTGAAAAATAGCTTCAAAATCTATAGTTTAATTTAAACGAAAAAAGTACTACAAGAATCAATATCAATCATCGATATGAATGTTTAAATCTTTTCTAATCCAGCTTATATCTATTATTCAAGGCAATGTCCCCGTTTCCAATCCTACACGATAGATAGCATCTATCTTACAATACTTCAAATAGTCATACGTAAACCATAGCTTTAATTGCTCATTTTATTACAAGCAATTTTCATTAGTCAAAAATCAATAACAGCCAGTGGCCGAATAATGAAATAAACCAAAAGAGATAAAATCTATTTAGTATATTTATAAAGATGAAAGTAAAATTCATAATTGTTCTGAATTCCACCCAGCGTTTACGCTCACCAAAGCGTTTGTATCAATGGTCTCTATTGTATCTACATTGGTTACCACACACCATTCCGCACTCGGCCCGCTTGACAAATAATACATATTGTATTCTATGTACGGCTAATATTTGTTTATTTTGTTCGATTTCCATGCCATGAGTATATACGTATCCTAGTAGATATGCTGTTGTGTATACAAATATGGCTCTTAAGCCATTTACAATAAAATAAAATCTCACCTGTCGTGCCAATTTCTTTGAAGTTATTCACCATCCAACAATAAGCATAGAACACCTCTTCTAACGCTCTTGGGAACGGTGCCTGCGGTGCCAAACTGTAGTCTATAGAGAGTATTGGAACGTTGAGTTTGGCCGCCCACTCTCTGAGGTAAGTCTCGTGGGACTTTGAACTTTGGGCCACGAATCCGCCACCGTGGCAATGGAACACTATGCCATCCGATGGGGGTAATGTTGACGACCCTTCGCCTGCCTGACGGATATAATAATAAAATGTTTTCATATGATGATTTGCATCGTTATATAACTGTAAAAAAATACATGGCACCAAATGAGTAAAATTTATCAACAATAGGGTATTTGACGCTTTTCTAAAAACTATTTTAAATGGGTGTTTGATACACTATAAATACACTGTCAATATATTTCATTGGAATCTGTTTTATTTTTTGATGGAAATAATTGTTAAAATTTAAAAAGCCAAAATCGCGCGAAAAACCTTCTCTATGTAATGGCGCTGATCACGTGATATTTGTGACGTCACATGCCGGTAAATATGTCAAAGCGACATAACCTATTTATTTTCGAAGTAAACAAATATTATTACAGAAGAGAAAGGGGTTGAAAATCATGAATTTTGTGTGACGTAATTTATGGACGGCCCCTAACACTATTTAATATGACAGCTTCCGGTTTACGTATGACGTCACATGCCGGTAAACAGAACCTGGTATTGGTTGCGGCGATAACCAATTAAAGGGCGTTTTCGTTGTTCATTAAAATTCTTAAAAATGTTGCATTTTCTTTATGTTATTTTACTAAAGCTGAACATGTTTTATCTGCAGATTCTAAAAAATAAAATTTATTAGATTATTATCTAACAGGATGACCATAATACGCAACTTATTTTTAATAGTGTCAAATACCCTATAATAAATTGTGAAAGTAAGTAAAAACTACGTGCAGTCTGTAGTGGAGACGATGATAGAGTACTCACCATTCCCATTCGTTTGTTAACACTGATTAATCTGACGTTCAGCCCCTGAAGCCCTATATGGACTGTTGGTGGTAATACTGTGGTCTCTTTGCCTTCTGTGGTCGTCACCGTGATCGGTTCAGGTGGTATTGTGATCAATTTGTTCACAGCCACCGTTGAGGACATGAGGCTCGGAACCCTCTTCATTATTTCTAAAATTAAATAACTCAAATATCTGTTAACTGATCAGGAGGCTATTTTACGGTCGACATCACGTCAGGTATTTCTCCAATCGATTTTAAGCCTTATCTGTTGATAACTGACATAAAAATCGATTGCATAAACTAACTTCAAAGTAATTTCTGTCTGCAATCTGATTTGCAGTCCGCAAGTGACAAGTACTAATGATATTAGGTCCCAGGAAGAAAATACAGTAACAAATCAGTTGAAATTTCTTTGAAACGAGTCAAAATTACTCATACGAGTTAACATGATACCCGGCCAGAATGACGTTTGTGTAAAGTAAAACCCGAAAAAGTTGTCGTTGCATAAAAGGTAACGCGGGTGTATGGATTTTCGAGCCTGGTGTCATGGTAATTAATACGTGTAGGTAGTTTAAAGAATATTACGCTCTATATACTCACCACTTTCAGCTAAGAACCAAAACGCTTTGCAGAACTCCACACTGGCAGACTGGGATATGTTGACTATCCGTCTGGCTCTCATTTCAGGGTCGATGAGATATTGTCCACCGGTCCACACAGAGCTGATCAGGTTCCCGTGGCTGTAGTACGCTTCGGAGAAGCCAGCCATACATATTGATATACCCTTTAGTATACCGCGCATTGATGGTAGAAACTGAGGGAGTTATACTTAAAATGAGGAAGTCATGAAATAATTGGTCTATATGTCATGGGCCAATCGTTGAATTGAACTTATCGAGATCTGCCCGGGCATATCATGATATGCCACCATTTCTTAATTTGGCACTCTATCATCTGCCATATCGTTCAATGCTCAACGCTTGATGATTTGAGCGGCTAAACTCAGGCCAATTAATTTTGTAAGGTGACCAAAGTACTAGGTAAGCAAAGATGGGCAACAACCCGGGCTGTTTCCTACCGCCCATCTCTGTATGTAAGCAAATAAATGAAAATAATTATTTTTCTAGTAAATAAAAAGACTGTTATAATTATTTTTCACTATGTTTACTAAAAAGGGTTCATCGTTTCAAAATAAAATCTCCAGTATCTGACGCTCATAGTCATTCTTTTAATAATCACAGTTTTCGTTTGCTTGGAACATTGCCATGTTTTTCACTCGTTAAAATACAGCAAATAGCGCTACAGCGCCACGAGTGACGATACGCCTAGCCATATTACAATGTGTCCAAATGATTAGTTGGTCAAATCGACAAATACGCTTTTCTCGTCGACTATAATACCTTGGCAGTGAGAATATTGTGTTCTAAGTGTAAAAAAGCTGTGGCATATGATTAAACATAATAAATAATAAAAACTTGTGGATAATCATTACGTATATCTTATTAAACTTATACAACTATAATAGATTTCTGATATAGCGACATAGAAGGGACCGCGGAAGTCGTAACAGGCACAGGTTATTACATAAAGACAATGATATATAAAGATAATCAGATGCAAACAGTTTAGTTATATCCATTTACTGTTTAAAGTACATACTTTCCCTACCATGATATCGCGTCTTTAGCGAAATCGGTATAACCAGCTCTCAGAACACTCAATAACGTCGTTAGAGAAAAATTGTCGCTATAGTCAACGTCGTTATAATTGAAATCCACTATGAAAAAAAAAACCTAAATATATAATAGCGACCGTTACGGACAGAAGGTTTGTACTTCTGCCCCCACGTCAGTCTTTATATTGTGGACTTTGTATCGAACAGAGGTGGCCGTGTGTACTTATGGGAGTACACTATGTCGTTGCTAACGGTACTCAGAGGTATGTTGGGATGTGTGGTACTATGTAGCTGGGCACATCCTCTACCATAGAGGGACATCGGAGAAAGAAGAAGAAAAAAGAAAGAAAGTGCTTGAAAAATTCTTGTCATCTTGTCAAGTCTCACATAATTGGTTTATTTTGAAATCGTTTTCCTAAAAATACCTATTTACCGGGTATGCAGGTATGCAATCTATTGGGATGATTACTTTATCTGTATCATCACAGATAAAGATTCAAACTGTCGACGAATTGACCCTACCTATAACAGTTTCTTATGTCTACTATTGAATGTAAGTTTATTGTCTTTTATATTTATTTTAAATTGTCAAGCAATCAAAAATTAAACACCAAGAAAAAGTGTTTTAAATAAAATAATAATAAAAACGTTGCCATTTCATTATTTAAAGCATACATTTGCTCTAAAATTGTGACTTGTAATTTTACGAAAACTAAATTAAATAACCCTTTATTTCATTGTTCCGATCTTAGGATTTTTTCCCTTTAAGAAATTATACTGGGTATTATATATTATGGATTTTTCACAAACGTAAAATATTAAATGATACATCTAACTCCATCTATTGTGGTTTTTAAGAACAAATATTTTTTACTTAGCGATGAGACCCCGTGCCCAAAGTAACTATACCACGTATAGATGAAGCGATTTTCAAGAACAGTCTCGAGTGGTTGTAATTAGGAAGTGGCTAGTTTGTTTAAAAGTACGATACGGTAATTTACTGACTTCCACATACGGTAAACAGAATTATCAGCAGACGGACATAATACCTTAGTGTTGAAAATACATTAATAAATTTAATGTATTATATAATATCCTCCTTCAGAATACCAAGGGGATATACATTAGTGGATAATATGGTAAATAAGCAGAGATTTAGAAATTTTATTTAATTACCAGCTTCCTACTTCGATCATTATCTAAGCCAACATTTTTTTTTATCAAATGAATTGCTTAACTATAAGTTTAGTTTGTGCCTACAATGGGATTAAAACTAATATTGAATACAAAATATCATAAACCTAAAGGTATTGCAAAACTTTGCTAAACCTTGTATGACTTTTCTCTGCTGTTGGTTTATACATGTGTCAAAGAATAGCGATTTGAACAGAGCGTAATTTCACCTACTTGAAAATAAACATTTAACTTACTTGAAACCCAAGACATCTTCCGTAAAAACAATACTGGTTGATTGTATCTGCCTGAGAGAATAGCTCTTCCGGGGAGTGTTGTTCAGCGGGGAATAGCTCACCGGGAGGCGCCCACGATAGTAGAGTATGCAAGTGATGTAGGCATGTGCCTAAAGAAGCTAGTAGTTGCCCGCAAGATTCCACTTCCCTAAAAATGCAAATGAATTTAAATCACATCGCAGCAGAATCATCATTAGTTTATCAATATGCTGTGCTTGTGCACAAGTAACCTATGGAAGGAATCGAAAAGGAGAAAGGGCAATAACATAATAGTATGCCAGTTATCAGCTTTATCTCTTATTCAAATGTGTTTAATAAATATACTCTGTTATCTGGTGTACAATTTGCTAGTTGAACGTTTTTAGAGATGGGTAAAGATATTTATAATGTCGATTTTGAAAGTCAACCATAACTTACTCCTTTCAAAACTGTGTAGAACCATATTTATGTAATAAAAGTTAACTTGTTGCAATAAAAGGACATCTTTCGACTCCTCTTTATAATTCATTCTGGTGTACCACAGGGCTCACATTTTGATCCGCTTTTATTCATAGTCTTTGTAGACGATCTTATTCAGAAGTTATCATGCTACTGTCTATTGTATGCGGATGACTTGAAGGTTTACGCGATTGTGGACAAGGAAACTGAATACGACCGTCAAATGGTGTGACGAAAATCATATGCTTATAAACATAGATAACTGCTTTGTCTTCTATATAAAAAACATTTTTAATTAATTTATGAGACAACTATGTATTATTACCACGTTGTGTACACATAGTTAAATAGTGTATAGTGTCAAATATGTGTTTACATTTTATGACTGTAATCTGTTTTGTATGCCTGTATATAAATAAATAAAATAAACAAATAAAAAAAACCGGCCATGTGCAAGTCGGACTCGCGCACCGACGGTTCCGGACAAACCTATAGGTATGTTGTGATGTAAGAAAAAATTTAGGTTTTCGGAATATTTCCTTTATAAGTATTTGCTATAAAACATTACTTCACGCCAAATTTCAAAATTCTAGGTCGACTGGATCTAATGTCCATACAAAACCTTTAGGTTTTGGTTCCCTTGCAAGTGGTTGCGAGTTTGAAAATATGCGGCTTAAATTGCTGTTTCTTCTGATTGCGTTAACATAGAAGTTTGATTCTGTTACAGCTTAAAATATTATAGACCTGACCCTATTATGAGACCTGATGAACCTCTACATGTTTATGAGGAAAGTGGTAGTAAAATTAAGGTTATTAAAAATATTTTTATTATATCATGTAACAATAAATTTAAGGATTTCGCAATTTTATCTGTACTTATAAATATACTTTGCTTCGTACCAAATTTCAAGATTCTGAGTACCCTGTAGGTTTTGATACCCTTGCGAGTTTCAAAAATTTGCAGCAGAAATGGCTGTATCTTTTGATTTCATTGGCTTAGAAGTATAATTTTCTCACAGCTCTAACGGACCGTAGATCTGAGCTGAGACCGTAGATTTGATATTAATTTCCGCATGTACGCATTCCTGAGAACAATGATCATGACAGATGGGCGGACAACAAAGTGATCCTGTAAGGGTTTTGTCTTTTCCTTTAGAGGTGTGCAATGGTAAAAAGACAGATGAAACAAAATGAACATATAAAATTATACATAAATATGTAATTTTAATACCTATATATACTGTGAAGGCCAATTTGTACCCCTGTCTCAGCTAATGTCGCTACTGTGTTTCTTTACTGTAATATTGGTAATTAGTTTTATGTAAGTACACATTTATAATTTTTTTATATTATATATTATTATCTATCTCGAAAAACATCCAGCTACCAAATTGCACAGTTTTTTTTTTTGACGCTGAGAAATGCTTTACGCATACCCGCTACACCCAGCACGGGCTTCACGAGTTATATGGGACTCCTCCTGTGGCCCCACACCGGAAGGGGCTAGACAAGAAACAGGAGTTTACCCACTAAAACTCAGCGATGTCCCTCGCATGAAAGGCGATGCACGGGATCGGCCCGGAGGAGGATTCAGTCATCAATAATTATGGCTATTAAAAACATATATCTGCAATAAAGTTAATTATAATGATAATATAATAAAAAATAACTCAAAATAGCTGTCAAATGTTTTAAAATTTCTTATTACTACACTGTTGATATATAAAAAAACTTACTTCACAAAATAGCCTTTTCTAAATAAAAGTGCATCTCGACCAGTGCATACTTGTCTGCTGAGTTTAAGTCCATGTAAAACACACGAGTCCACAACTGACACAAAACTGCGATATCCATTCCCAGGTGAATTTGCATCGAAGTCATATAATGGTGCAACCTGAATTCAATTTTATTAAAATGAGGAACATTGGTGATAATTTTCTGGTGCCTTAGTGTCTAAAATGTTAACTATATGTTAATGGGGTAATGTGGGTAATGTATAATAAAAGGTTTTAATTTAGATATTCAGTTACAAAATAGATTGGTTTAATAATGTGATACTATTAAAAAAAACTACTTTTAAATAGTTTATTTGCAGGTAATTTTTGAAAATTATAATTTTCCAGATGTTTTTGATTTTACTTATTAAAAGATAACCAACATCTTGGTTATCTTTTAATAATTCAAAACATAACTAAAAAACAACAAAAAAAAGAAGAATTGTGACCAGTGTCTGTGTATCAGCATAGCTTTTTACTTGTCTGTCCAAAGATTTTTATGCTATTCTTAATGTGTTTTTTTTTACAAGAAACAAGTATTGTGATACTATTCAGATCTTTTACCCACTAATACCATTTGTGGTTAATAACAAGGGTTAAAAGGGTAATTGGTTAGTGACATTTCTTGATGATATTCAGTTAGATACAGTATTATGTATATACAATTATGGCCTCTATGAATAAAATCAAGGTTCAATTTAAGATGATAAACAGTATTTTTAAATAATACTTTTCTGATGCTATTCTAATATTCAAATTACAAGTTTTTGTAAATGTTACAAGTCAAGGTTGTTGATTTTTTAAACTTCTTCACAGCTAAAGTTCTGAATGGTAGAAGAAAACAATATGAATTATTTATGGGTTGTATATATAATTTGAATAAATAGATATACATGTGAAGAAAGTTGCATTATCTACTTAACAAAATTACTGTAATAGTAATATCATTAGTATTATAATTACTGTCTCTTTGAATGTTGTTATTACCTAACAATTTTTGATTGCAAATCATTTATTTATTACCAACCTTTCGGACATGGTCTACTAGGGGCCACACTGTGTCTATGTGGTCTATCAATGTAACAAATCCCTGGTACAGTCTTTGACCATTTTCACTGTCATCAGGCTGGAAATAAGTGGCGTTATTTTGGCACGAATCTTTCAAAGCCTCATACATAGCGAAACTTGGAGGAGTTCCCTCTCCGCCCTCCTCGCAACATAATGCCGCTTTAGCTGGCGACTCTGTAAAAGACATTCTTTTCTTCCACACTATCCCTGTAGCGAATCGAATAGTACCAGTGATCCACTTAAGCCTCATCTGCAAATATTCTCATAAAGATATAATACACACTCATTTGTTTTACATACAAAATTATGAAAAGGAAAAGGGTATTTACAAAATTACTTCTCAGGAATTTGTTTGCATCATTGTACCATTTGACCAATTCTGTCCCGGGGGTATTAAGCACAATCAATTTAAATTTAATTCAGTATACGTATGATTTGTGATGCACGGTTACGAAAAATATTCGTGACATGAATGAGAATCACATGAATGAAAATATTGACAAATGACAGCTGATTCATATTTTCGATGGCAATACAAACACAGAACACAATGAGGAGACTTTTTGGCGGGAAGTCAAATAGAGCGCTAACTTTTAAACTTTATTTTCATTTTATTTAATTTTCTTGGTTTTCCTAAGCGACTTTTATTGGAAAAATAAATTTGATATCAAGATGGGGCCCCCCAGCGATGGGGAGGACCCAGGAGAGGTAAAAAAGAAACGAAAACTAAATAACGTAATCAACAGCAATACAAAGAACGATAAATATAAAATTTATACAAAAGGAAACTATAAAAGATTATTTATTGAGAATAATTCAGGAGAGTACACAGTGTATGTAGAATCCACACAACAAGAGAAACTAGGTAATAAAAACCCAATCTCTCTTACAAAACTTTTTACTGATAATGTGAAAGGAATTGCTGGAGTTCACCGAGTAAATGCACATAAAGTTGGCGTCACCTTTAAGAAAGTCTCTTCAGCAAATTACTTTTTAAAAATGGAAGACTTCTTAGCTAAATACAGCATGCGGGCTTTCATCCCAGCATATCTAACTGAGAAAATTGGCATAATTAAGTTTGTTCCCAAAGAACTGTCTAATGAAGAAATATATAAAAATATAACTTGTGACGCTGAAGTAATATCAGTCAAACGCTTTATGAAAAAAACTAATGAGGGGCTAATACCCTTAACAACAGTAGCAGTAACTTTTGCCACAACTTCTTTACCTCTACATGCATATATACAATTATTCCGGTATCAGATTCACCAATATATTCCTCCAGTTTTACAGTGCTTCAAATGTCTGAGGTACAATCACTCAGCCAAGGTTTGCAGAGGAAACCAGATGTGCTCTTCATGTGCTGGACATCACTCCTATAAAGAATGCGAAGTAGACGAAATTACTTGTATCAATTGCAACGGCAACCATTTGGCCATATCCCGAGATTGTCCAGTGAAGAAACAGAAGATGGAAGAGAATATGAAGAAATATTCACAGCAATCTTATGCCACTGTGGTGAGTGCGACACCTCCCAATAATGATATGAATAATTACCCCCAACTTAACTATAAAAGTCAAAACTCTAAGGAATTTGATATCAATCAAATTGCAAATAATGAAATAATACTGAATGCTATTGTAAAATCTTTAATTGCTTTAGGCAACCAAAAGGAAAAAACACCTTTAAATTCTAAGAAAATCAGAGAGACATTTTTATCACATTTAATTTAATGGATAAGTATTTACATTTGCTTCAATATAATATACAAAGCTTACACAACAAAAAAGCCTTATTACAAAATTTATTAAATGACAAAAACATAGATATCTGCTTACTTAATGAGACATGGCTCAAATCTAATAGTAAAATCCCACATTTTCCATCATACAATTTCATTCACAAGATCTCTCAAAATTCTCATAATGGGGTAGGTATGTTAATTAAACATGGACTGAAGTACAGTGTTATTAATACAGTATTTCATGAATCCATCCAGAACATATGTATTTTATTAGAGACAAAATCTGGTCCCATAACTATACTTTGTATATATTGCCCACCAAGTAATAATAATAATCGATTTGACTGTAATAAATTAAAAACACTCATTAACTCCATACCTAAACCAAGCATAATTATGGGAGATTTCAATGCGCATCACGTAGCTTTTGGATGCCACAGCGATAATAATAGAGGCAGGTCATTATACAATATAATAGATGATTGTGATTTGTGCATTATAAATGATGGTACACCAACAACAATTCCATATCCCAATAAGCAAGCTTCAGCAATAGACTTGGCTCTTGTTAGTTCTCAGGTTGCTCATTTATGTGAATGGTATGTACACAATGATCCATTGGGTAGCTATCACCTCCCGACGTTGCTCGACGTGAATGTTCAGCCTTCTTCATATGATGTGACTCCTGTAGAAGAGAAATATATTTATAATAAAGCAAACTGGAATGAATACTACTCCCTATCTGAAACTTCTTTTTCTCAAATAGATAGTAGCAATGAGAGTCCTCTCAATATGTATAATAATTTGATTGACATTTTAAATGATTTGCGGGATAAAACCATTCCAAAACGCAAAAGAAAATCAAACACATTAGCCTTGAGAAAACCAGTCCCTTGGTGGAATCAAAAATGTACTGATGCTGTTAATCAATCAAAACAAGCATTAAAAGCATACCGTTCTACATCTACTATAGAAAATTGGATACATTATAAAAAAATTGATGCTCTTAAGAAAAAAATATTGAAAAATGAATGCAAAGAATCTTGGCATAAATTAGTAGGTAGTTTTAATAGGTTAACACCAGTATCTAGAATATGGGGATACATTAAAAAATTTAAACGGATAGGAAGTAGTAATCGAAATCGAAATTTTAATGATGAATGGATCCCAACATTTTTAAATAGTTTATCTGATTCTACACAAATATATGAGGATAAAATAAACAAGTTCTTTGAAACAGCTACAGAAAATAGAGTAAATATGTTTCTCAATAACCACTTTACAATAGAAGAGTTGCATACTTCACTGAAAAACAGAAAAGACACTACACCAGGTATAGACAATATTCCTTATTTTTTAATTAAAAAATTACATTTGAATGCACAACTAACATTGCTCAACATTTATAACAAACTTTGGGACTATCTAGCTATACCTGAATCCTGGAAAACCCAGTGTGTCATTCCAATACTAAAACCTAACAAACAAGAAAATATAGCATCCTCATACAGGCCTATCTCTTTATCATCTTGTCTGGGTAAAATATTTGAGAACATGTTAAAGTCACGTTTAGATTACTTTGCTGAATCAAATCACTTAATTCCACCTATACAGTTTGGCTTCAGAAAAGGCAAAAGTTGTTCTGAAAGCTTTGTATCTTTAATATCTGATATTAAAAGAGTGCAACTGAGTCATTCTAATATGATATGTGTCTTTCTAGATGTTAAGGGTGCCTTTGATAATATAAATATAGAAAAATTAATTGAAGTACTTCATGAAATAGGCTTAACAGCACAGAATTTGAAATGGCTTTATAAATTTCTTAATAATCGGACAGTATTTGTTAGATATAATAATAAAATGCATGGCCCTAAAATTATAAATAAAGGTACTATGCAGGGCGCAACATTATCTCCTTTGCTATACAATTTATATACTTCCCAAATATTAAAATATATTGACACAACTTTGATTAAAATATTGCAATTTGCTGATGATATTCTTTTGTACAGCATAAATCAAAACATAGAAGTGGCACAAAGTAATATAAACAGTGCTTTAAATCAATTATATACCTACTATAAAAATAAACTTAAATTAGACATAAGTCCACAAAAGAGTTCTGTGATAATTTTTAGTAAAAATCCATGTGCTCAAACAAATACAAAAATAGTTTACAACAATATCCATATTCCTATTGTAAAGTGCCATAAATTTTTAGGAGTTATTATTGACAATAAGTTAAAATTTGAGGAACACATTAAGCACATTAGTAAAAATGCTTTAGGAGGTATTAATATTCTACGACATTTGGCAGGCACATTCTGGGGATCTGACCCCAAAATAATGAGTATGCTGTACAAAAGTATAGTAAGAAGCCATTTTGATTACAGCAGTGTAGCATACATGAATGCCAGTAGCACTCTTTTAAAAAAATTGGATGTTATTCAGAATATGGGATTGAGATTAATTAGTGGAGCAATGAGGTCTACACCAATTAATTCATTAGAGATTGAAACATGTATACCTCCTTTAACCTTACGCAGGCTGCAGTTAGCTGAGAGATTCAATTTAAAAGTTCTAGCTTCAAATAATAGTAACTTGATTAAGCAACTCACCCCACCATCCGAAATATCCCACACCATTCCATCTACTGTTATCTCAGCTTCTGCACTTGTCCATGGTCCATTTCCTGAAATGACAACAATTTTTACATATGTTAGGAATAATTGTAGAAACATCAAAAAATTTGATATATGGCCTATTTATAAATATCCCTATCAAGGTAAAATTAAATGTTCAAAAAGATTTCATCTTGATGATGTACATTGTGCAATAGAGTTTTTAGAGTTTAAAAATACTAAAAATAATTATTATGACATTTATACAGATGGCTCTAAGGCAAATGAAAGTGTCAAAGCAGCTTATTTTGATCCACAAACAAATTATAAGAAATGTATCAAATTAAATAATTCAAGTAGCATTTTTACTGCAGAAAGCTATGCTATATACTGTGGATTACATTATATAAATAATCTTGTAAATAGTGTTAACAATATTTTGATAATATCTGACTCAAAGAGTGTTTTAATTGCCCTTTCAAATGTAAATAATAATAAGTCGTTTAAATTAAACTATATTTTGTATGAAATTTTAAATATAATAATAGAATTAGATAGTAAGAATGTTAATGTAGAATTTTTGTGGGTGCCCTCACACAGTGGCATAAGGGGAAATGAAATGGTTGATATGATTACGCGCTCAGACCATGATGAAGATCATTCAGAGACATTATACCTACCTTTTACTGATTATTATAATTTCTTCCAAACCATGGCAATGGACCTATGGAAGCAATATTGGAACATTACGCTTGAAACGAAGGGGAAATGGTATAAAGAAGTGCAAAAGGAATTTCCTACCAAACCATGGTACCATACCTTTGCATACAGCGACAGGAGATTCATAACTACTATATCAAGGATGCGATTGGGACATTGTCTAA